ACATAAAAAAATTACGTCCTTTATATGGTTTATCCTAATGTACATCATTTTGATAATAAATTATGTGAAAAAATAAAATTATAATAAAAATGTTACTAAATGGAACTGACGATTTTTCACTTAGCTACATTTTTATACAATGTATTTAACTTACATTTGAAATAAGGTAAAAAAAAATAATTTGTTGTCAGTCATAATTACGGAAAGGTTGCACCCTTAATTTACAGCCGGAACGGTTCTTTCGTTATAGAAGACTTTCTGGACGTATTCTTAGATGTTTCTGAAGTTCCGGTGGGTTTTTTAAGCAGTTTTGATGTTGCAGTTGTAGAACCTGAAGAAACTGGTGTATTCGATCCAGATGGCGTTCGAGTCCTAAATTTCAAAAGCACAACGATAATTATAAAGTTTATGCTTTTATCATTAATAAATGTCGAATATTGTGACTTTGCAAAAGGTTAAGCGGTGACAAACGACAATTTTTTTAAAAATCAAACGCAATGTAGAAATGATAGGCGAATAGATACTTTTCTATTTTTAAAATTAGTTAAAAAGAATATACATATTGCAATTAAATTTTAGTATATATATATATATATATCTAAATGTTTAAAAATCAAAACGAAATACTACTGGAAAAACAAGATTAATGTGAAAGTAAAACCGGATGTACTTATATTAATATCCCGTTCTTACAGGTAAGGCGGAACTATAGCGAAGTTGAATATAACGTGTTATGTAAAAAAGTGGACAAAGAAATCACGTAACTCGGAGTTAACATAAGTCGGTATAAAATACTCTATATTAAGAAAAGACATGTTTTGGAAAAAGTTACTAAAAATGGAATCTGAAAAATGTATGCAATAATCTAAAAATATTATTAAATTTAATACATATATTTTAAACGATTATCTTTTAACAAGCGACTACATACAATTTTACATTGGTTTAGGACTTCAGTAAACGTCGGACACTGACGCCAAACAATTAAAAATAAATGCATTCGTTCTATTTATATAAAGCGCTGTATGATTCGGTCAATTAATGTTTGTTTTCACGGTAAGTAAAAACGATATGGAAACAATAACAGTCACTGTTGTATTTTCCTACTGTAACCTTATGATCAATCAGCAATTAAATAATAAAAATTTCAAATGATAAACATAAAACCAAAAACCTAGGACAACCATAATATAAAAGCCTAGGGTACCAAAAAATACTAATTGTAGGTATAATTTAAAAATTAAAAAAAAAACAATATAAATTAAGAAAAAATGTTATTTTATAGATAGTGAAAACCCGCGTAACGTAGGTCCACCAATATTACTAACATCAACGCCTGGATAATCGGAAATTACTTGTAATTGCAAATATTTTTATGGTTTGGAATTCAATTAGAATTTACAAAAGTATCTAATAGCCATAATTGTAATATACACTTAAAAAATTCACATTGAATTGGTTACTTCATAATAGCATCGAAATTTTTTTTAGGATTAAGTTGTATTGGTGATTGTTATATATGTTCAACAGGCCACCATTGTGGCGACTAAGCGTTTGTAATTTAAACTTTGTGGTTATTTTGTCGTTAAGTAATAATAAAGAACGATGTGTTGAAATAGTAAAAAATGAAAAAGTAAACAAATTAATAGGTATAAATGTACAATACACAAATAGTATGTAAACAAATAAGAATAAACTGTAATAAAAAACAAGCGACATTAGGCGCGATACTGATAACAATACCACATAAAAATAGCATAATGGGTTGCTAAATGTAAGACACACAAAAGAAATCATGAAAGGCAAACAATGTAATGATAGAAAGTTATAAATTTGCGATTAATTTCATACAGACAATTATAAGTAAGAATTACCTAGATGGCGTCCTTAATGTGGGAGCGTTAGTCACTGCAGCGGATCGGGACTTGGACAGCCTGGTTAAATGTACATTTTGTTAAAAAATGGAAATGAAATTATTCCGCATAGTTGTTTATTAATCAGTAGGTACTTCTAATGCTATTAAAAATGATCAAACTTTACACACTTCATTTCTACTGTTTTAATAAATTATAAGGAGCATAATGGTTGTGAGACAAATTTGGATATATATATTTAAAAGTCGGATAAAAAAAGATAACAGGCAGTGCAAATAAAAACAGCATAGTATGATGCAGTAAGTACTATGTAACAAAAGTAATTATTGTAAGTACTTAAAATTTTAAGAGTTCCATAAACACGAGCATGCAAAGCGTTAGATAAACTTATTACCCAGTAGACAAAGAGATAGAACATGAGCTTGAAGTAGAAGGTGGCTCTGAATCAGTATCAGCTGACCCTACATAAACCGGTATTCGAGACCTACACATTAAAAATTAAATGAATCATCATCCTGAATTTTATGTTAACGTTTATAGAGTGTAAACATACTTATCAGTGTGAAAATAATTATCTAGTTTAAATTTGTAACAATTGTAACATTATATATTAATATAATTGATCTGATCAAAAAGCGTTATTAAAATGTGAACTGATAATAGACAACAATGGTAAATTAAAAATATATTTTTTAAGGTACTAGTATTTTTAACATTCCGATTTGCTGAGTGGGTACTGATACTGAACAGTAAAATCATTTCGTATATTCTGTCCATTTTGTTAGTTTCTACTTTGACTGAAATCTACAAGTTAAATATATTATTTCAATACGTAATTACTTCATTTAGTTAGAAACAGATTGCTGTACTTTAGTACTTTATCCTTTCAAACATTACTTTTATATTAACTTATTATAAATATGAAGATTCAATGTCATGGTACTTAACATTTAAAAACACCTGCAATGTTACTACCATGTTTTGTCATAGCAGTAATATGTGTAAGTGCATCGATAAATGTTTCCAAATATAATAATATGTACCATCATTTGGGAAGGATAACATCATTCAAAAAGAGAAAAAGTGATTAAAATCACCACCTTCAGCAATAAGACGTATATTGGGAACTGATCGCTTTGGTCATGACGTCTGGTGGTTAAAACTCAAACTATGATATGGTTCCATTGTATGCTTTCAACACGTTAGCTTCATTTGCATTTAGTTAAATAGCAACAAATAAATTATTATCGACTTACTGTTTGTCAGTTCATTTGTTCGTACTAATCCTGCAACTATTTATATGTGCTCTGTTCTAATAAAAACTTTCTTTTCTTTCATAGTTTCCTAGCAGTGTTTTGCAAACCGATAATAAAAAATTAAATTCTTACCTAACAGATTAATAACAGTGATGCAACAGCATTTCGACCGTATTCCTACAGTTAAGAATACGGTTGCGTTTATTCAAAAAGAATTGAAGAATAGCGAGAAATAAAATAAAGTTTATTTTTAGACACAACGTTTTGTAATCGTTAAATTTGTAATTCTATGAACTCTGTCTATTCCACTTTGATGATTGCAGATGAAACCGTATAAGAAGCGCATAATAATCACGAATAATGATTAACCATACAATATCAAAATAAACAAAATAAAATTTTCATAAGAGGATACGATTTTTACTATTTCTTGTTACTAATAAGAAATTAACCTTTAAACGTTTAAGAATTGTTGGATGTCTTCTATAACATTGAATAACTGCTACTGATCCAAACAATTAAAAATTCAACATTTTTGTAAGGCAACATTTTAAAGTTGTAACTTAAAATCAACCATAGTAATTAAGCCACGCCTTTATGTCAATTCCCAATAAGCCTCAGAAGGTTCACTTCTATCTTGCGTGGCAACCACGCATATACTATTTCATGTACATATAAATTGCAATTTCTTAGTAAATAGATATATTACCTTGTTGATGTAACAGAAGTAAGCCCCGTTGGTGTTCTTGGTCGAGGTAACCCTCCATTTGGTTCTAATTTTTTCGCAGTTGAAGATGTACGTCCGCTTAAGGGCGTTCTTCTTGTGGGTATTCGAGAAGGTGTGATATCGTCTAGGATTAAACAAAATCGCAAAAATGTTAATGATCTTTTAAATACTACAAATAATTTATAAACTTAAAACAACGGATTAAATATTTGGTCAGTAATTTATTGAAATTACCAGACAGATTGCGATTTCTGTCTTATTTTATCTCATCAGCACGCAATAGGCAGTCTCGACAAACCACTGGTCAAACCGAATCTGCTCCATATAAGTACTCTTATATGTATAGGTACTAACGAGTTACGGCAATCTTTCGCCAACTATTGATATTTGCTGTTAACTGAAGTCTTTCAAATGTTATATGAGGGCTTTATAAATAGATCTACTGAACTAAGTCGACCAGGCAGCCTATATACCTGAAAGGCACGTAATCGAATTTATCGAAACTACCTAACGTGGAATAATCTTTTTGATCTTATCAGCACGCTATAAGCAATCTCGATAAATCACCAACCAAACTGACAATACTCCATAAAATCATTTTTACATAATATCAAGCTATGACAAATTATCGCACTCTACTAACATTTGCAGCTACCTAAAGTACTTCAAGAACTTAAGCCGTTCTTATTAATTTGGTATATGTACCTTTCACGCCTATAAGTATTCATCGATTTAATTGAATAAATAGAAACATTTGAAACATTTCAGTTACAGTTGAGGCGATTAAAATTGGCAAAGTCCGCAATAAACTATCTGTGAGAATGCACGTATTTTCTTTCCTGTTTCCATTTGGGATTGTAGTTATTTGCTGCGTTTTGTGCTCTTGTTAAGTTAGGAAATGCTTCATCAGTTTGCTTAGGCAAAAGATCAGGGTCGGTTTGGTTAGAATTATATCTTTAAACAAGCGTCTTTCCATTCCTAAATTCCTGAGAATGTTGAACTTTCTTTAAAGTCTGATGCTGACCAACATGTTCAAATTCTGCTTGTCTGCATCTCTTTCCGTTACACACTAATTGATACAAGGTTAATCCTTTTTATTTGTTAGTGTTCACTGCAATTCCAACCTGTCATCTCTTTTATGTTTATACGATGTTTTCTACGTCTGTTTACTCACTACAGACGAAGTAGGCGTTCTGTCAGTAATCGCTCTAGTCAGTTACTAATTGTAAGTTGAAAGGAGTAAGTAAATGCCACAGTTTTATTGCCGACTAGGCCAATTTTGAACGTTCCACCTGCAGCAGCAATACTAGTGGATGCCGATATACTGCCGTAATAAAACAATAAATTTGTTATGGGATCTTACCGGTGCTATCCAAGGACAAGTTTGAACCATGCCTGGAAGGCGGTTTACTTCCTGGTCTGCTACCAGATCTGGAACTTGGACGAGAACTTGGTCTTGAACCACTGGGAGTATAGGCATAGGGAGATCTGTACGAAAATTTCCTTGGTGTTTTTGTGGAGGGTCCTTCTGTATCTGATAGTGATTCTGGGGTGCCTCCTGATAATGATGTTTTGGAATGTCGAGGTGCTCCACTGGAGCTCATTGGTACTGATCTCGCAGATCTTTCTCGTACCTAGAGAAGTATATTAAGTTAAATCGCTTACCCAAAATAAAACATTTTTAACAATCTCGATTAATAAAAATCATGCGAACAGAAAATTTTAAAACATTTCATTTATTTTTTCAGAAATATAAGCAATTTATCCCACAAAAATATTGCTCAAAACTGATTCGTTACGGCAAAGATTAATATTTAATTGTTTAATTACTTTGAACGTTTTAGTAATTATGAAGTGCAGCAAAGACTCGATTATGTAGGTCTCAATATATGATTATCCAAATTATCTACCGCGCTTAAATTATTTTTAAAAGTTATCCTTTCTTAGTCATCCTTTTGAAACCAAACATAACATCATGTATCTAAAATTTGTTTTCTCCCCATATATATTATCTAGATTTTCAATTATCTGTACGATTCTAAAAAGAGCAATCGACCACGCCAATAGAGTCTTTACTGTATATGTATAGTAATAGGTTTTGTACTTCCATGGTTTATTTTATACAAAAATTAAGTCAATNTTTGCGATCGAACCGGATTCATATTGTTAAGCATACAAATAAATGTAACATACACCGTTTTCATTGTATTAATAAAACATAACTAGTATTTTAATGCTTTTTAATTTTCTGCGTTTTTTTATCGCATCATGATAAAAAAATAGTTTTTTAAAACATTTCTTTAAAATGTTTAGTTTTATACAAAGGCATAAAGGTCCAAATATAATTTGTTTTTGAAATTTCGTATTTGAAAGTCAAGATTTCTAATTGTAACATGATGAAATTTCAACTTGTAAATCTCGATGCTTATTGAATTGTAACCTAACTAAGTCCCAATCTAATCTATTCTAATCGTAAGGTAATTTTAAGAAACGACAAAGGTGATACAACACTTATTTCGTTTGTTTTGTCTTTTTTTTGTTTTCGTGGAAGAGGGGAAGTCTTCAAAAGACAATTAGCCGCTCGTTATGACTGTGTCGGACTCCCGAGGAACGAGGAAGAAGTCCTCAGACCTACCGATTAAAACCCTTCTACCTTAGGCCGTTTTAGGACCAATCACGGTCCTCTGTGTTGTCTTTACTTACTGTATTGTTATATGATTACAACTAAGTTTTAATTTCAATTAGGCGTTAGGATCATAATTTTCAAGTAGGTAACGAACCATATGAGTGATGTAGTTCTGTTATTTTTTTGTTTATATAGTTGAATCTATATAGTTGAACCTAATCTAACCTAATAGACAATTGAATCGCAGACAACAATCGTCACAACATTGATGGGTAAAATTATCTTTCGGGCTGAAATGCCATCTACAGTAATCTTGCATTGACAACGTGGCCTTTGAAGATGCCCACCACAGTTGCCAACGGAAACGTCTGGACCTAACAGTTTATTTAGACCGTGGAACTTCGGTCCGAATTATGTTTTTACGGTACTATGGATTCCGACCATGAAAGCCTAAGGTTCTTATATTGATGGGTAACTCACTCAAAATTTCGAGTTGCAAGTATTCGAAATTTCGACTTTCAAATCGAAATTTCAAAAAAAAAAATATTTGGCCCTTCTACGCCTTCATAAATTAATTTGTATAAAACAATTTTGTTTAGCAGAGATAGTTTTCGAATTAATTAGCAAAAAACAAAAAAAGGGTCGATTTCCTAACTATTTAGCAATAAAAAACATGACGCGTATGTTCGATATTCTTCCCTATTTTTGTTGATTTTGATACCAATTTCGTCTCATTTAAATCGGCTACCACCTTTTGCATTTTTGTTTGTCTCTGGTGTCTATATTAATAGAGTATAGATGATTAGAAAAAACATTAGTAATTCCTGTGAAATTATTAAAAAAAAATTAAAAGAATTATAACAAACAAAAAATATAACTTTGGGTCTTATTATATTAAATCTCATGTAAATATCCCAAGAAAATCTTTTAGTAGTATCGGTTTCATGAATATTTTTTTTATATAATATTGTTCTACATTATATATGGTTCAACGGTAGGCTGGTTTTGAAGAGTAAATTTGTGCAACTGACGTAGCTGGTGATAGGACATTTTGAAATTAGCCGACGATTAAAACGTCTAAAAGATTAACATTAACTAAATACCCTATTTTTGATGTCGAGGATGTTGTCGTTTAATTGGAACTTTTAATTACCAATTTCATGTGTTGAACGTTTTATTAACAGGGTTCGGTCGAATCATTAGATTAAATTAGATTACGATATGGAGGAACTGTGATTCATATACATTCGTTATTGGTTCATCTGTACCCTAAAGTTGTAGTATTATTGATATCGTTGTCGATAGCATGTTGTCTCTAGAATTGTTAGACGTAAACATAATAGCGGAACCAATCATTGGGCTACTCTGAACGGCACGTTTCGGGAAGCACATTTAAAATGTAAATGGAATTGCAAGTTAATTACATTGTAAATTCGTTGTTAGGTCGACTTGACGTTTAATAATGCAGCTTTTTTTTTAATTATTTAATTATGTATAATTATTCTTTACATTAGAACGAAAGGCAGTACTGATATAATCATAACACTGTAATTGTCAGTCAAGGGTTATATGAAATTACTGAAAATGTACAAATTCACGGACTGCAATGCTAATTTCGTTCTGGTTGTGACAAATATCATCATTATTATTACACCAGCAACTCTTGTTGTCTCTAAGTAACCAATAGCATATTAAAAAAAGCCGTCTTTAAGTCATGCCTTGATTTTGAGACAACGTCGCAATCGCAGCTCCTCACTAGAGATAATAGAATAGAGTGGATAAGTGACGAGATGAAAGATAGAGGGACTCTCTTTCTGGGTCCGTCAATTAGAATCTTAGAAAAAAGTAAATGTTATCCAGGAATTTTCATAAAATAAAAGTAAGCCTGTTAACTCAACAGAGCCGAATTTTTTTTTGAATCACGGGGACTATAAATATTAAGAAATTAAACTACGGCAAGTTGTAAATAACATATTAATCTTTGTTTATATCCACTCATGCATAATGAATCGACGAATTGAATATAGTAATAGTTATTTAAATAACGAGTATTTCAAGTGACCAAGATACAGAGAATGAGGTTGGGTTGGGATAGCGTAGGCAAGCTTGATTTTTTCTGAACTAGCGCTTCAAATCCGCTTGAAAAAAATTTCGGTGACATAGAGGACTCCGAGAGTGCACCAGGAGTTAAGTGGTATGCACTAGGTTAGGTTGTGGTGAGAGATGATTTCCTGATTAAGATATGTAAAGTGCTATACAATAAGGTTAGGTTATGGTGGGAAAGGTTTTCCTGATTGGCATATATACTGTGGTGCACTATCAACAACGGTGCCAATTCGTCTAAATTTGAACAAGTTCAACTACATAATATTGCTCATAATAAATTATTTTATTTCAGGTTAAGCATGAAAGACTTTTTGTGGTATCAGTATTAGGGTTTTTAGTGAATTTGATAGGAATTTATGCATTCCAACACGGGCATTCTCATGGAGGAAGTTCCCATGGACACTCTCATGGAGTTTCAAATTCTCATGGACATTTGCATAACTCACATGGACATTCTCATGATCATCCTATTGAATTTGACTCAAACGGTGCGAACTCTCAAATAATGAAGGGTGTATTTTTGCATATACTAGCTGACACCTTAGGAAGTGTAGGAGTTATTGTGTCTGCAATTTTGATGCAAACATTTGGCTGGATGATAGCAGATCCAATCTGTTCCATGTTTATATCACTACTAATTATAGTTAGTGTACTTCCATTAATTAAAGATTCAGTATCAATTTTGATGCAAAGACAGCCTGTTTCTTTGGATAATATTCTTCCGCAGTGTTATCAAAAAGTGATAAGTTTAGCTGGAGTGTATTCAGTTCAAGAGCCTCATTTTTGGACTTTATGCAGTGACTTCTATGTAGGCGCTATTAAATTAGAAGTATCAAAAAATGTTGATCCAAGATATGTTATTCAACATACGCAAATGATATTCGCTGCAGCAGGAGTTAGGCAACTTTATGTGCAACTTGATTATACTCCTATGTGATAATGACATCGTAGTGTCAATTTGCATTTAATGTTGGTGGAACCAGGAAGATTGGTAGAGTGAAGCTAAATAAAAATGTCTAAAGTTTTTTAAATTTTATGTAATTATTAAAAAAATAAATATTTTCTGTATTTATCTTCGACTATAATTTTTAACTAAGCAGTAAAGTCTTTAATCGTAAGAAAAAGTATGCCAATGTTCCAGTGTTAAAGAAACTAGTTTTACGCAAAACAATCGTAAATAAAATTATTTGTTTGATGCATCTGCAAAATTTGATCTGGTAAAGCTGTAACAAAGTCAGCAATGAGGCAAAATAGTTTTCTGATTTTTAAAAAAAAAAGTTTAATAATTACGGAAATAATTACCATTTTGTACAACCGTTAAATATTATGTACTCTTAAAATAGCTTTACTAAACAAAAATTTTGCTGATGCACCTTGTATAATTTATGTACCATTTTGGTCTGTCCAGAACTAGCGTTTTTCACACACTGTAAAATCGGAGATAACTAATTTTACAAGATAAATCTACAAAGTTTATTAGTGAAGTTCTTAAAGAATTTGAAAGAAATATAAACGTTAAATACTGAAAATAAGATAAAAAAAGTTTCACCATTTTAAGCGGGTGCGATTTTTGACAATTTTAAAAATTGGTGCAACTATTTTTTTGTTCACCTGATTTTTAATATCTGGCGTCTAATTTGTTTGCAAATTTGCAATAGTTTCACTAAATTAAATTTTGTAAATGTGTCGTACAAATAGTTACAACTCATTTTTCATTTATCTGGATGGGTCGTGACAAAATTTCAAAAAGGTTTTATCTCGTTCAGGTATTCTAACCGATTGAAACGATTTGTACTGGTTTTTAGCATAACTTTCTTAGTGAAAATCGTGGGAATGTATTAAAAAATTAATAGTGTTCATAACGTTGACCTTATGAAGTGAAAAAAAAAACACGCTTATATGATTAATAAATTTCTTTAGTTCATTAAACAATAATTTGTTACATAAAATAAGCATTATAAATATTCAGTAAATAGCAACGTTTGAGGGAGGGGTGCAAAACCCTTAATTTTAGTTGTAGTATTAATAGGCAAAACAAATTTTAGTATATAAAAACTAAATGGAATAACATTACAAATGTTAGATGAAGTAGAAAAATTAGTATCTATCTAAAAAAAAATAAAAACAAAATAAATGGTCCCATTAAAGCCAATTTACAAAATATCTTATACGATAGCATAAATAAAAGAAGAATTTTTAAACTTAATTATCATTTTCAGTAAAACTAAAATCACAACAGCTCGTGATAGAAAGCTTCCATTTGTAAATATGGCAACATAAAAAAATTACGTCCT